TACTGTACCATAATTCTCAACTTACAACTACAATCGGGACCAGAATTTCCATTGCTACACAAGGAGTATGTTAAATGAATCATGCCAAATTTTACGACTTTTTTTGCCACAGTTGTTAAGTAGACCCTGCAGTTGTTAAGTGAATCATGATGTTGTTACGTGAATCCAGCTACTCCTGTTGACTTATCAGAAGCCAATTGGAAAGGTCTCAAATGGCGATCATGTGACCCTGAGATGTCGCAACTGTCATAAATACATACTGTTTGCTGTGGGGAAGCTGTGATTATTGTAAGTGGAGGAACCAATTGTCAGTCACTTTTTCCAGTGCTGCTGTAACTTCATAATGTCATGAAATGAATGGCTGTAAATTGAGGATGTCCTGTATTCTATACTCACATTAAATAACTCGTTATTTAGAAATTCTTGGTCTGTAATCTTGTCTTTTGGGGGGGGGGGGGAATTAGAGGATTAGGGAATTAGGAATTAAGAGCCATGGTAGTGCAGTGGTTCGAATGCAGTTTTGCAAGCTAATTCTGCTGACTGCTGGCTGCCAGCAGTTTGGCAGTTCAAGTCTCACCAGGATCAAGGTTGACTCAGCTTTCCATCCTTCTGAGGTTGATAAAACGAGGACCCAGATTGTTGGGGGCAATATGCTGACTCTAAAAACTGCTTGGAGAGGGCTGTAAAGCACTGTGAAACAGTATATAAGTGCTATTGCTATTATAGAGTTGATGTGTTGTTATTTCTTTACTCCTGATGCCATATCATCAGGAACAAAGGATGAGCAAAACAGGGACTCTTTTATCACCTGTGCAGATCTGGATTATAACAACTGGTGTGAAGGTATGTCTTGTCTTCCAAAAGATACAAGAAGGACCTTCGTAATGATTTCTCCTATGTGGCAAAGCAGAGCATTAGGAACCGTGAAGATTTGTTCCATCGACTCTTCCATCCAAAGTTGCACCTTGACCAGCTATTTTACCCTTAATCAGAATATATCTCAATAAAGTAGAAGAGACTTAGATCAACCAGCTATTAACTGTATGCCATTTGTGACAGGGATGGAGTAATCCAAACATGTTGTGCGCCCCTATTTGTGGCCTCTTGCGTATTGCACTGAAAAACTGACTAGGTTTTTTTAGACAATGTTGGAATGGATCATTCAAATCAATGTTTCTCAACTGTGGCAACTTTAAGATGTATTCTGGCAGTTGAAGTCCGCACATCTTAATGTCGCCACGGTTGAGAAATGCTGGTTTAGACCATGAGAATCTAAATTTCAGCAGGTTCTGACCAGTTCTGGAGAACCAATAGTGGAAATTTTTAGTAGTTCGGAGAACCAGCAAATACCATCTCTGACTGGCTCTGCCCCCATCTATTCTCTGCCTCCCGAGTCCCAGCTGATTGTCTGGGTCTTCTTTTGTTGCCCTACACAGGAGAATGGAGCTTGAAAGCAGGTTAGTGGAGTGGGGAGGGAATGGGATTTTGCAGTATCCTTCCCCCAGGAGTGGGGTGGGAATGGAGATTTTTCATTATCCTTCCCCTGCCGTGCCCAGCAAGCCACACCCAGCAAGCCACACCCCACCCTGTCCACTGAGCCATGCCCACAGAACCAGTAGTAAAAAAAATTTGAATCCCACCACTGGTCTAAACGATTCATTCAATCAGTCTAAATTCTCTCGTTGATAGAATCTATTTCTCAGTGGAAGAATCCAAATTAAAACCTATCTAACTGAAGGCTGTCCATACCGTTTTTGAATGCATCCAGAGAAGGAAACCACCACCTCATTGATTAATTAATTCAAATTGTCAAATTGTTTGTTGGCTTAGTAAGATATCTTTTAACATCTAACCAGAACCTTCATTCCAGTAACTGCCTCCTGAATGTACTGTAAAAGAACATCTCACAATGACACCAAAAATAGCTTTCCTGGAAGCATCAATAAATCTACTGAGGTTTATAGAAGGCTTTAGGAAAATGTGGAGAAAGTACTGGAAAGCAAAGGATTGAGAACAGAGAATAAATATATTATCACCAACAAATAGTAAAAAAAAACCTAGACTCCTCTCATTTATCTTCCTCCCATTTTTCCTCTTTGAGTTTTATTGATATCTTTTTCTTTGGATAGCTCATAGAGGAACACATATTCTGTAAATGTTGGCAAATATTTGATACTTAGCATCAACATAGGAGATATTAAATCCTTACTCATAGGCAGCAAAACAATTGTCCCAGGCATGGTGGAAGCTGCAAGAGTGGAAAACCTAGCTACATTTTAATTTATTTATCAGATTTTTATCCTGCCTTTATTACTTTATAAGTGATTTAAAGTGGGGAACATTCAACATACTCCTTCCTCCTCCTCTTTTACCTCACAACAACAACCCTATAGGTTGAGCTGAGAAAGACTGGCTGGCTCAAGGTCACCCAGCTGGGACTAGAACTCACAGGCTTCTTGTTTCTAGGCCAGCACCTTAACCACTAAACCAACGTGGTTCCAGTGAAGTTCTCATTGGAAAAACACCCAATTTGCTGACTAGGGAGGGTCAAGTTTGAAGACCTTGGGAAGTGCAGGGCAACTGTCTAAATGATTCCCTTCTTCTGTTCGTTTCATTCTGTACTGATGCAATCTTTTCCCAATTGCTTTTGGTATTGATCTCAATAGTTAATAAGCCAGAGAACATGAGAAAACTAAGATCCTACTTCAATTAATTTAAAGGCTTGACTGACATGTCAAGTACCCAAACTGTATGTCTGTGGAGATTCTCAGTCATCCAGGTCATGGTTGTCCCAAAGGTGTTTTTTCATGAGGCAACTGGACTTTCTCCAGAAAGTCCAGTTATCTCTTGAAGAAGCATCTTTGGGATACCCAAACTATACTTTGGAGCAGGGATCTCCAACCTTGGCAACTTTAACCTTGGAGGACTTCAACTCCCAGAATTCTTTGGAGGGTCTCTTTGGGGGCATTGCACACTTAAAAGGCACTGTACTCTGACTATCTCTCTTCCACAATTCTGCAATATTTTCCCCACTAATCAAGGACTGTGTACAACATGCTCATTCAATTTATCTCATTTGAGGGATCAAATGACATATGAGAGTTTAATGTAATGACTAAGGCATTGAGCTAGAAACCAGAAGACTGTGAGTTCCAATCTAGCCTTAGGCACAAAGCTTGCTGGGTGAACTTGGGCCACTCATGTTCTCTCCGACTAACTCACTTCACATGGTTGTTGTTATAGGAAAAATAGGAGGAGAAAAGAGCATTAGGTATGTTGGCTGCCATGAGTTACTTATTAAGTAATAAAGATGGGATAAAACTCTAATCAACTATACAAGTAAATCTATATTGAACCATGCAGTGATTACATGGGCTAAGGAGGAGAGAAGCAAAGACATTTCATATCAGGACTCTTAAATTGTATTATGAAAAGTATACACATTATTTACCTAATATAAAACACACTCACCATTTAGTTATATTGGGATGCTTTCAGAAAGATACCTGTTGACACTATAGTTGTTCATTCTTCCTTTTTTATTAAACTGGCTTTTGTTTGATTAAAACAATGAAATAAATAGTAGAAGTCAAAGGAGTCTTGTAAGTGAATTACAATAGCAGGACTTTGGTTAAATTCTGCCACAGAGATTGGGCAGTTGTACTGTACATGAAAAGCTCCATAGAGAATTGGGCAACATGTGCCTTTCCAGATGTTATTGGCCATCAACCTCTAAGCAACATACTAATGGTAAAAGAAGACGGGAGATACAGTGCAACACTGCAAGATTCCTACATTGCCACACCCCAAGAAGCATCCCCAGTGTGAATTTTCCATTTTACCATAGACAAATATAGCTCAGAACCAGGTGAAGAGAGATATTGACATAGCATTTTCCAATATGCATTTCCTCAGTAGTAGCCACAAAACTTGCTAGCAAAATATAGTGTACTGTATTTAATTATACATGCACCTGAATAAATTTGTGATTTCTGAAAGGATTTGTGTGAAATAATAATTATTGCCCTTTTTTTACATGCTACAAGTTTTTTTAATCTGTCTTTTATATTTGAACTAGTAGCAATCAGTCTCAAAATGTGACATTGCAACAGATCAGCCTATGAGAAAGGTTTCTATTTTTTTTGCAACAGAATGTTTACCAGGGTTGACTAACATAACATCTTGATACCTGAGAGAAACAATCCAAAAGGATCTTCCTTCTTTATAACTGGTAACATTAAACTGAGATTTAACTGGACTTGCTAATATTTAATAATGTGCCAATACTGGCTAAGGTGACTTTGTTCCTTGAAAATATTTCCAGACCCTCTCTCGAGTATGAATCCCTCTTGTATTCACTAGTTTAACTCCACACTGCTATTGCTCAAAGTCTGTCCTTGGGTTTAATGGCAGTGACAGTGATATGATCACGGAATTGTTAGGCCGTAAGACAACAGAGTAGGTATGGTATGAATTGCATTCGGCATCACCTACAGAAAACCACAAAAGTGCCCAAATGATAAAACACACATGGTAACATCCTTATGCAAATGTTATCCTTATGTACTCATGTTTAAACATGTGGTGCAAGTCACATTTGCATGATGATATCATCACACATTTTATCATTTGACTTCTTCTGTTCTCCCTGAAGATACCCATGGCCACATCTACGCCATTGCCCACTATCTCCTTTTTTCTAGAGAGTGGATGTTTTATTGGGTTGTAGCTTACTGATGATAATAAGGAAAATCAAGAGTTACCAGCAATGCTTATAAAATCAGAAAAGTACTTTTATTTACAATTCAATCATACATTAATATAGCATTTGAGCTATTTTACTCTCTAGTCAAATAAAAGAAAATCCACAGATGTCAACATAATCATTCAGTTTCACAGAACACTGCATTGCTAAAACAAATTTAAATAATTCTGTACAAGCTATAAAGTACCAAAACATGAACCTGGTGGGTGGAAGACTCACAATATTTTTTTTAAAAAAATTAGGCTATAACCTTGGAATAGAACTTAAAATGCAATTGTTTCTGGAGTGTACAAATCATTCTTTTCATAATATAGCTAACAATATCAAAGTAGAGTTTTAGCTCTACAATGATGCTCATGTCCTACTTTAATTGTATATAAGACTGTACCTTCCATTTTATTCAGATATCTAGAACTAAGTAATGGGACATTTCTATACTATGAATATATGTCAGTGTTATTACCAGTTTAATTGTTGTTACTTCCTTTTCCTAGAGATTCCAGGAAACCATGGTCTTCTTTCAAGTTTCCTAATATTTCTCAAAAAATTAACTTTCACTATTATGTAGAACCTTAAAACTGTATACTGTATGCACTCTATCCTCCCCACTATTTGTGGCATTGCAAACATGAGGGTGTGAGCATCTATTTATACAGAAACAACCCATCAAAGCTAAGCACTTTTTACATTTAACCAATTTCAACAGAATACAATGCATTTTTTAAATCCCCTCTTGTTGAGATCAGCAGGTCTTTGAAATGCTTTAGTTCCACCAGGATTAAGTCCATTCTGAAAAGAAAACCTTCAGAATATCATGTAATTATTCACAAGTAGCAGTGAACAATTTTGTATTTGCTACTTGCAGGTTAAAAGTACTATATACAAAATACATATATTATTGTAGATTTATCCAATTGTACCCCACCTCTGCATAATACATATGTTCAGAATATGATACATTATTTACAAGAAATATATAATATATCTTACAGCATATTTACATACATTTCTACTGTCCAATCCTTCAAAAACAGTTTGGAAATGACCCATCTTCTGGAACAAAGGGCAAAATCACTGCTTGGTTGAGAACTGCCTGGAGTAACAAAGTCCCCACACCAAAATACAGGAGCAATAAAGAAAACAAAATTAAATATCCACGCAGCATGTCACTTTGCACGGAAGCAAAGAGGTTTAACTGTTGAAATAAAAGGATGGCAGGAGCTCACAGGTGCAGTAAACTGATCCAGAAATGGCACAAAAACTTCGCAAAGTGGAGCTTTATGGACATTTTGCCAAACAAAGAAATATATTTTCCTAAAGCTAGCAAACAGACCTTTTTGTATTCACAAAGCTGTTCATGTGGGATCCTTGGTGCTCTGTGAGCTTGTTTTGTTGCAGACATTTCATTACCCAACTAGGTAACATAATCAGTGCTACACTGCAATGCTACTCCTCTTCTATCGATAAACTGTTCATATTGCATGACTTGCATCCATTTATAAGGATCTCTGGATAGCCCCCCCTATTGCATTTCACTTTATTCTCATAAGTAACTACTTTGTTGAGTAGGTAGATAAGCCTGAAAGTTAGTCTGGCACTACCAAAAAGAAAGGCAGGTTTCATTTGGCTCGTATTGCACATGAAAGTTGATATTGTAAAATGAAAGCATAGTTTAGAAGAGGGGTCCCCAACTCCCAGTCCATGGAGCAGCACCAGAAACCGGGCCATGCAAACAAGGGAAGCCCCACCTGTGGGATGCAGGCAATAAACAAAATCATGCCCACTCCGGTCCATGGAAAAACCTTTCTCCATGGAACCGATCTCTGGTGCCCCAAAAGTTGGGGACCTTGTGGTGCCCCAAAAGTTGGGGACTGGTTTAGAGACATATCTATAGATTAGTCCAAGGTATCACTTTATGGCTGAATGGAGACACTGAGTGGAGTCTTGACCCAAGAGACCAGTTTCCATCAAAAGGCCTAATTTTGGTTGGCCTCCTTTCCAAAGCACATCAGCTCAATTCCTCTTACACCGAGTTGTGATGAGAAAGATCAACCAAGATTCTGAGCAAGGTCCAGTCTCATCTAGTTGGTAAACTTGCAAAACTGTCTAATTACTTCCGGTTAATGGACTTATACGTTTGGTTTAAGCGAGTCGGCAAGACTATAGGATCCATTTATTTTCATCTTTCTAAAAATGTAAATAAATATGGCAGCTGCAGGACCTGCTACTATGGATAAACAAGAAACTACGATGATTACAGGAGTCACGGAATCCAGCTCTTCAACTCTGGCTGAAAATGAAACAAACAGGAAAAAAATGAGTATAGTATGACAACAATGGGCATTGACAACGCTATCAGAAAGTTTCACTAACAAATGTTTATCTATTTCTGGATTTAACATTACCTCCTCTTCCTTCTCTTCTGGGGTTGGCATTTTGGTCACAAATCATAAAAATTCTTGTGCTCTTTATAGCAATGTTTATACCCTGTCACATTCATGGACAGAAGCAGAGGTGGTATTCAGCAGGTTCTGACCAGTTCTGGAGAACCGGTAGTAGAAATTTTGAGTAGTTCGGAGAACCAGCAAATACCACCTCTGACTGGAGATTTTACAGATTTTCCCCTGCCACGCCCACCAAACCATACCCACAGAACCGGTAGTAAAAAAAATTGAATCCCACCACTGGACAGAAGGTCCTGATATAGAAGTATCAGGTCCTGATATAGAAGTATCAGAAGTACATTTTTGGGAGGTGAGGGGGGGGAATAATATCATTGCCAACAATCCCCTAAGACACCTTTCCAAATGTGTAGTTTTTAATACCTGGAATACTCTACAGTAGCCCTGCTATCTGGAGAATTCTGGGAATTAAAGTTCCAAAATCAGTTTGGGGAAAGTTTCCATACAGATTAATATGGAAAATTAACCAACTTTAGTTAGGAAAAGAGTGAAATATGGGCTAAAGGGAATGTAAGGGAATAGTTAAAAGGCTAAGGTATCTGACCAGAGGTGGTATTCAGCACGTTCTGACCAGTTCTGAAGAACCGATAGCGGAAATTTTGAGTAGTTCGGAGAACTGGCAAATAGCACCTCTGACTGGCCCCGCCCCCATCTCTTCTCTGTCTCCCTAGTCCCAGCTGATTGGCTGGGTCTTCTTTTGTTACCCTGCACAGGAGAGCGGAGCTGGCAAGCAGGTTAGTGGGCTGGGGAGGAAATGGGGATTTGGCACTATCCTTCCCCTGAAGTGGGGAGGGAATGGAGATTTTACAGTATCCTCCCCCTGCCATGCCAACCAAGCCACACTCACCAAGCCACACCACACCCACCAAGCCATGCCCACAGAACCGGTAGTAAAAAATTTTTTTTAATCCCACCATTGTATTTGACCCATGGAAAACACTGCATTTCTGATCACTTTTCTTCATTACTATTTTCCTCTTGTATGTAATTTCTTTATACAGGTAGACTTCGACTTACAACTATTCTCTTAGTGACCATTCAAAGTTGAAACAAAGAGACTTATGACTATTTTTCACCCTTGAAGCAACCCCCACAGTCACGTGATCAAAATTTGGACACTTGGTAACTGGCATGCATTTGTGACCGTTGCAGTGTTCTGGGGTCATGTGATTCCCACTTTACAACCTTCTGACAAGCAAAGTCAGTGGGGAGACGAGATTCACTTAACAACTGGGTTACTAACAATTGCAGGGATTCACTTAACAACTGTGGCAAAGAAAGTTCATAAAATGGGCTAAAATTCACTTAAGTGTCTTGCTCATGAACAGAAATTTGGGGCCCCATTGCAGTTGTCAGTCAAGGACTACCTGTATAAAAGCTAGTTTGCTGTCTAAGTAACGTCTTTTAGTATTGCAAGAATCCTAGCCAGGGAAAAGAAGAGCTGATCTCAGTTACCTTTTGGGGACTGCTACCCAATAAGCATGGAGTGTTAAGGCAATGCAATCTGCTAGCAATATTAGTGCAGTATGGTTATGTGGTTCAATGATTGAAAAATATGTACCAATTATTATGATCTCTTCTGTATTATTTCTGTCATCAGTAGAAGCATCCACCAGGTGCACAGCTGTATTGTTTTTCAGTGCTGCATGTGATGTCATAGAGGTAATTATTTTGGGTGCTGTATCTGATGCAGACATTGTAATCAACTCCGGTGTTGCTATATCTGATGCTGTAGAGAAAAAGGTTTTCAGTGTTGCACGAGATATAACCGATATTGTAGTTTCTGATGCTGCATCTGATGTAACAGACACTGTTGTTTCGGATGGGGTGGTTAATACTTTAGTTTCAGATGGGGTGGTTAATGCTGTTGTTTCAGTTAATACTGTTGTTTCAGA